AACAGGGAACAAACACATCATCGATGGGGATTCTATGGAGGCAGAGGGAAGGGTCGCATTTATAAAGTGCCCCGATCCCAATATAGATATATGTCCCAAAAGATGGTTTCTTGCGAAACCTTTGAATGTTCTGGTGTTTTTCAGTTATTATCCTATTCTCGGTAGACACTGCAACAGTTTTCCAGCCTTTTCTGCATAGTTCAATCTTCCAGTCGATTTTCAAACCGTGCCGAATTTCGCCAAATAGGGTTCTAATCAACATGAAATGGAACGATTTTGCTGCTGAATATGTTAGTAAAAGAATTTGAAAAAGCAGCAAACGAAGTTCACTTCACAAGCATGGCTCTACGCTACTTGACCAGCGAACTATTAGACTGGCAAGAAAATTTCGTCACTTTTTCGAAGTAAAGCATATTGAGGAGAAAGTACTAAGACTGTATACATCTACTGTTACTTGTGCGAAGCTTCCAGCGTCCAGGCACTTTATGAGTGCCAGCGCTTCGCCATGCACACTGGGGACGTCAGCTGGACTTTAACATGGACTAGATCATGAAGCTTCAAGCTTCATAGAACGAGTTAATTCGGAAAACAAGCACTAGTCTGAAGGAGCAACATCTGTACTATATGAGAGCTCAGAAAAACTCATCCAGCCGGGTTGCATGACGCTCGGCTGGATCTTGTTTGTAAGCTGCGGTAGGGTTTTAAGTTGTCCCTATCATGTTGAAAGTAGACTGTGAAGCCAAATGCTTTCCTCCAATCGGCTATTACCATAGATCTTGATGCTTCCGTCTGCAGACCAACGATGAAAACAACGCCTTCATCCAGTAGTCTTACAATTTGCAGTCCCCTTAAAATTAGCTCAGAGAGGACATCCAGACGTCATCTCATCTTCAAGACTGTGGTCTTCCGGTCTGAAGCGTTGGTGCCGTAGAATTGTCTAGCAACTTCGGGCATGACTCTCAACCCCAGCCATTTTTGGTTTCTTTTCCAGCTCTCTTGCTCAAGCGAGGGTTGCAGAAGAAAAAGTAGGAAAAATATAAGGCTTCTGCGCTCACGATCCGGGACACAATTGTTGTCGCATTGCGAAAACGAAGAAGTAGTAAACAAATGAACGGTACCAATTAAAGGAACATTACCTAGGTTGCTACTGTTCACATGATCCATCGCGCCCGTTAAGATGAACTGCAACTGTTCCAAAGGCATGTTCCGCAATTCATTTGATCTTAGGACACCTTCACCTTCATAAACCTGGTAGTCCTATCCGCAAGCATGGAGGATGTACTTCTTTCGCAGCTCAAAAATACATGAAGAAAGCGCGACCCCCTAGCGATGAGCCCACGGTCCCGCCTATTAGCCAAGGCACCGCCCAAGTTTCACATTTAACTGCTACCTGATAGTACGGTTCTTCCGCTACCGACACTCTCCATTTCGAATTGTGAGAATGAGATGATAAGGAGAAAGGGCCGGCTGCAGAGAATGAGACTTGCTTCCAAACACCGCCCTTTCTCGCCCTTCGCACGCACATAGCAAACGGTAGTTTCCGATGGGCGTACTTCAGCGGGTTTTTTTTCACTGTTGCGGTAATCATCCCCATCATGCCATATGTGTATTGAGCCCCGCAACTTCATCATTTTTTAACTCAGAGCCTGCCTTTTGCATTAAGAAAGCTGATCTCCTCTTCAGCAATAAGACTGGCACCCTATGCACCCTTTTCCCTATTTCAATCTTCTTAGAAACTGCGCAGATTAATCGTGATCCTACCGTATCATCACTATGAACGAATGACCAGGCGTACGCTCTGAGGAGTTTGAATATCGGCAGGATTTCATGCCCTATACAGATTCTGAGAACCTTGACAGGGAACAATAGGGTTCAATAGGGTCTGACAGCCACTTATCGATAACAGGAGAAGGGGGCGGTACAATACTGCACTACAAATGGAAGACTCGGCTCGCAAACATTTTGACGTAAACTTTAACTTACAGGTAAATACGATAAACTCGAACCTACGACTTTTAACCATACATGAGAACTCAACAATTTGCTCATAATAAAAATTTATTTCTCGAAGAAAAGAATTTGATTCAGCGCATATTTAATACAAGCACAGCCGAAACGAGGAGAAAATAAAAGAGAAATCAAGAAAGCATTCGTCAAAACATTGCATCGTGAGTGGTTGAAAGCTGTAATCATCTAGTTTTATGAGTTGTTTAGCACTGCTCTTCTTATTGAACTTAAAAATTTATTATTGCCAAAGAAAAAAGATCTCAAGAAGCAGTAACCTCACAACTCATCCTATACAACAACCGTTATTCAGCTTAAGCCGCAAGGACTGAGGGATGAATATCTGTGCCAGATTCTATAGAATATAGCGCCATAGTAGTCTCTCGAAATACACACTAAATAAATTAAATAGGACAATATTATGTAGGGAAACACTGCAATGATGAGTGCACCATGATTAACGAAGGCCAGCAACAGTGAAACTGCTAGAGGAGAACAGCCACAAGGAAAATTGATATTAGCCGCTGTTCGAGGAACACAACATCTGAGAGGGAAGAACATAAACAGATCACACGAGTTTCAAAAATACTACATCTATGAATAGCAGAGCTGGAAGCTGACAATTATCGACACATAATCTAGGATCCAAGTCGAAATACTGGCATGAATATGGAAGCAGAATAAGTCCATCTAAACATCTTTGTTCAAAAATAAAACAGAAATAGCTGAAACAGAACCACAGTCTTCGAGGTTCCATACCATCTCATTCTCACTGTTGCTCGTCATCCTCATCGGGTGCAGCAAAACCTTCTTCCGTCTCATAGAGAATCTCTAGAATTCGCGACACTTCCACGGTACCAATCGATTCGTTGTCTTGGCAGACAACCTAAACGAGCGCGAATTTGAATTCCAATAAAAGAAATTTAGCGATAAATACTAGGTTTGAGATCTGATTGAAAGCACGCCCGCATTAATTTGATGTTCAGGCACCTTCTTAGGACATGGTAGTCCTGTCAGCATGGAAGATGACTATGTTCGCAGCTCATAACTACGAGAAGAAGTGCGACTTGTTCGTCACGCAACCACGGCCCCACCCAGTGGCCACGGAGAAATCGAGGGCATAAGGAGAAAGAGAAGACACCAACGAGCGAAAACTCGTCCGGCCACGCCCCTTCTTCGTCTTATGCTTCTACAAACGCGGTTCGGCCTGGGGTGCTACATGAGACATCTCAAGCTGGTTTGTCGCTGTTTTTCTCTTTTCGCTTTATTCGCCATCTTGTCATCACACGAGCCGGACAAACGGTACTTGACCATTTTTTGGTGTCTTTGAACTCACAAGCAGTCTCCCTCATGTGGATCTTGGCTTGTGGCGGATCAAGGGCGCGCAGGAGCAAGCCAAAAGCCCCCCCCCCCCACAGTTTCGACGCTATTTTTTCAGGTAACTACAGAGATGCAAACTCTGCAACTCTTGTTAACAAAAATAGGGAAAACATCCCACTTATCAGGTTGTCAACAGCGGAGCCTCCACATTATAGTCGATCGCAGCGATCAATACTAGGATCACTGATGCTTCATAGATTCAAATTCATAACCTTTGCCCACAATTTTCAGATACATAAATGCATGAGCTGTCGTCAGTGATTGAAACATGGTGGTAAAATAAGAAGTAAAATTTACAACTACGAAAAATTATTACTGAACACACGCGAGTGGAAAACTACAAACACAAAGCAACGAGTCATCCAAAAACCTCAAAAACCAACCTCAATCTGTCGCAACTTATTGAAATAAAAGTCGCGTTCCTTCTCCAGACTATTCAACACCGCATCGCTTTCGCCCAACTGACGAGTCAGCTGAACAGAAATGCGTGATACATACAAGAAAAAGGTACAAGTACTACTGAAGTTGCAACTACGAATTTGCGAACCCATTTATCATACAGGTCAGCTGTGATGAGTAAATGCCCAAAACGGTATTGAAATAGCTTGCTCACGAAAAGTTCGCCTATCACAAAACAGAAGTTTTTTTAATTACAATAGAAGGGTGGGACAATCCGAGAACGTGACCAGTGGGCAGTACGTGAAAAACCACTGGAGGAATATAACACACCGT